GGCAAAATGCTTTCAAACTGTGCTCTGTTCCCATTGTTCATAATAAATTCTCTCCCTGCTTCCAACAGAGGGGACTCCACTCGAGGTACTGCCAAAAGGCAATGCTCCTGCAAGCACCACCCAGCACAGCAATGCTGGTCACGTCAAAGGACGGGACCTACAAGAAAAAATGAGTACATGAAATATCAGATTGGCTGGCTCAGGAGGAACTATGACATTCTTCAGCACTTGCTCTGTTGCAATCTGAACTAAAAGAGCTGTAAATGCAACACAAATGGTCCAGTTGTGAAAGCAGTCACATGGTAGAGGTTTTATAGCCAAGTTTTAAGCCTTTTTTCTTTGCAACAGATGACACGGGCAATGTTCCAGAAGGAGTTACACTCCATCTCACTCTTTGCCAAAAATAACCCTCTTAGGAAGAGAAAATAACATTTTCAGAGGTGTTCACAACCCCAGTCCAATCCATATGTGAAGCACAAAATTTAATCTGAGTTAGCCACATGCCAACATACTGCTTCCACTGAAGGTGTCACCTTGGGATCTTCCTGAGGCAGCAATGTGCAGATCTTGGCCTTTGCCAAAAACACCACTCCACAGCCTGTGGAAATCTATCTCTTCCCCATTTCGACTGGCAACAAGACTCAAATCGAAGTGTGAGAAACTTGACTGAGTTTTTTCATCTTCCCTCTCTTGCAGGGCCTGCAGATGGTGCCAGCAGTCGGCAAAAGCYGCAGGCATCACCCGTCTGGGGAGCCAGCCCAGGACTAAAGAGAAATCACCTGGGGAACAGRACTCTCTTTGGCCCCAAAGGATTGCAATTTCAAGACTGCTGGAAGTCGAGGAAGCAGATTCARAAATGTGCCTTAAAAAATATTTCAGCTTCTCTGTCATGGTGCTGAAGAGCAGAGGGAAGGCGAGCAGCTTATACACTGTAGATTTCTTTTTCTGTATCCCTACTGCAAGTTACTGCCCTGAACTGTGTGTTCTAGCTGTTAGCTTCAGCTYAAAACAAGCAGAGTGTTAACAGAGTCCAAGAGAAGAGGAAATCCTCATTTTCCCAACAGTGTCCATCTCCCAGAAGATGTCAGCATGGAGCCCAAGCCTTTTTTTTTCACAGAGCAAAAGTGTGGATGCTACCCAYGCATCCAAAAAGCTCCCTGACTATGAAAACCAACTGTAAATGCCTGAGAAATAGTTTCCCTGTTCTCTGCCTGTGTGTTGCTGTGAAGCTGGGAGGTGTACTGCCCGTCTGGAATGCTGTTTGGGTSAGCAGATGTTTGGCTGTGAGAGCAGCCAGAGATTGCGCTAAATTCTCTTCTATCTACAGAGCCTTTCAGCTCTGACTGCAGACAGAGAGGCAGCAGTGGTGATAGGTGAAAGCCCTGATAAGAATTGCTAGCCTGGAGGTAAATTGTGGCAATGTGTTTTTCTTTTTGGAGCCAACGTCTTCAGCTGGCAGCCTTCTCTATTAAGGTGTTTTTAAAATATGCTGCAAAGAAAATGGTTCTGATAATTGCACTSAATAGTGACTCCTTTCCCCAAGCAGGATTGGCTTCCCTCCTCTAAGGTRACAATCTCAGGTAGGTTTGGGCATTTTTTTTCAAATGGATGAAGAATCTATTTTAGAGCTGCTGCACTTACGAAGAAGTCTCCCGTGTGCTGTTTCTCACTGGGTGACACTGTACACGCTCCTCTCTCTCCATGCTTTTTGCTTTGCTGTAGGGATGATGAGGGATAGTTCACTCCAGGGTTGTATTACTTGTATTTATAATTACTTGTATTTATAAATGCTTTAAGCCCCTGAAGTGGGGATGCAATCAATGCAAGTGTGTGCATGGGTGTAGCAAGCAGCCGATTTTCCTTAGGAAACAGAAAGCAGCAGGAAGAAGTGTGACAGTGAAGTGGAAGGTCAGGAGCACTTGTCCCCAGAGCTGACTCTTTTAGATAAACAAAAGATATTAAAAAAGGACACACAGATAAAATAAGCACAGAGCGTGTATAAGACAAACCTGTGCCAGCAGTTTCTGAGCCAAGGCTGTATTTACAAGACCTAACGTCACCTGCAAACACTGCRGGACCAAAAATTAGGAAAAATGAAGCTTTCCAAGCATATACATCTCTGCTAAATACCTTTGGCCTGAATCACCATGAAAAATTTGCAGTGTTTGGARCCATTTCAAGTGAGCTGAACTGAGCCGAGTGCCTCAGTCTGAGGCTGCATCTCCAAAGGGGAAGTTTGTGACAAAGAGTGTGACAATTTGCCATGACTGCTGTGGAGAGTACAGAGCCATGTGATGCGCAGACTTCCCTGTTTGTGAAATTTACATTTTATGTCTGTTAATTTATGTAAAAGCAGGGGATTGAAATCTTGGGAGGTGGAATCTGTAAATTGCCTCTTGAAGGTTGGATTACTGATGGAGGTGAGGCTGCAGCCCGTGTCTTGTGCAAAGTGGAACCTTTCAGTGCTGGGGTAATCCTTTTTTAAATTAAATTCTTACCAATCACAAATAACTAGAGAAGCAAAAGGAGCTCAAACTCTCCTGGCATTTCTCAGTAGCAATTTTCCAGCCTTACCGTATCCAGCTATTTAGCTTTGCTCCTTATAGTGACTGCTGCCCCCCCAAGCTTCAGGGACATTAAACACATAGAGCTTTTCAGTGTGATAACTATAATTTAAAAGTGAGCCTTAGGTTAAGCTTTTACAGAATCACAGAATTTTTAGGGTTGGGGAAGAAACCTCTGAAGATCATCTAGTCAAACTCCCTGCCAC